CTTATAACCTTATTGGCTAGGACTTTTTAGGACCTGGTCCGCTTCTGGTCATAAATTTGGACCTAAAGATCTGCAGACCAGGTCCTAGGACCAGGTCTTTAGGTCCAGGACCTAGGACTTTACCATCCCTACCGACAATGATAGGCTTATTGAGAATTATACTGACCTTTCCCATATGTGCATCCACAAGTGTGTTGTCAAGTTGACGAGCATACTTGAAGGAAGAGGGCTTACGGACTTTTTTAAGGAATTTCTTCTCATCATTTTCATTGATCATTTTCATAAGTTTGACTGATACTTACGTAAATTCTCTATAGTCTACCATAGACTGAGTTATTCATGAGTTTAAAGAAGTCCTTTTTGAATGAATTTTTGGCCTGCTATCATAGGCTTGTATTTTTTGCGATATAAGATGCTAACCAGTTAATCTGTTTGAATGACAGGATTTATGTGGCTTCATTTACGACCATACCTAACTTAACGTAATACTGGAGCTCTTGGTAGTGGATAACATAATCTTTGTGCTTACCAAGATGCAGGACTAATTTTACTGTTTTGGGGAACTTACCTCTATCTAAGTTCTCAACAAGTTTTGCAATATATTGGTTTAACCTATCCTTTTTTACTGCAATACTTTTTACGGCAGGAGGTAAGTCTCTCAAATAGTCATGGGTCTTGAAAGGGAAGTGTGTTTTGATATTTAGAAAATATCCAAGGGGCGAATCTGGTTTGTATTAAGAATTACATTAAGAATCTGCTTCTGCTTATCTGGATTCTGTTTGAGATATTCTGGTGATGCTTTTCACTTATGACTTATATTCTCCAATAGGTAAGTACTAGCTCATAGCCCATCTATACAGATTGTTTGCATCTACATGGTGGTAGGTTTAAAGGGATTAAAGGAGTCATCCATCTTAAAATTATTGGCTTTTAAAAAGTGGTGTCCAGCCATAACTATATATTTCTTCTCGTTTAATTTTTTCTGTGAAGTTATGTATATCCATATCAGTAAAGAATTCGATCTTGACTCCAGTCATCTTTAGTATACCATCCTAAGAAAGTGCTGGAGCAAAGACATAGTGACTTGGATCAAGTCTATAATGATGCATAGCAGTTTGTCAAAACTTTATCCAGATATTTGCAAGAAGGAGTACATCTGTTTTGAAATAAAGATTGTGATACTCATGCCAAACTTTTTGTATATGTTCATAATTAGCGTGATTTTTCCTTCAAAGGTACTATAAAAGTTATGAATAGATGGGAGTTCTGTCTTCTTGAAACGATCATGTGAGTCAATATATTCATAAGGATAAACTCCTTTACGTGTGATTAGATCAATATGTTCAGGTGAGAAGTTTTTGAAGTGTCACTTTATGAGAGGTTTGTCTGCCCCTAAATTTTTTGCGAGATTTGCAAGACTAGAATCCATAAACTGCATGCTATCGATGTACTTAAATTGACCTACCTTCATAGACTTATAACGCTCAAAAGTCTTTGCAATGACTTAAATTTAATGAGCATTAACTGATCGTCTGACAGATTCACAAACTAAGTAGGAGTTATAACCACAGAAATTGTGGAAGACTATTGGAATAGGGGTTTTCCATGCCTTAATCTAAAGCTTAAGATTGCATGCACTATATGCAGCTATATAAAATTTACCTGTAATGTGGCAGTGATCCCAAACTTTTTTATCCTGATTGAAATTTCCATTACATATCTAACAACTAACTGCCTCAGTGAATTCCTTTTTAGCTTTCTCTATTATAATGTAATCTACTTTTACTTTTAATACACTATTGATTCGTTTGAGTTCTTCGTCGATTTGCTATACAAATTCTTCTGTTGCATTTTCTCTGTAATATATAAATGGATCCCATATTTCATTTGTATCAATCCAGTGAACCATATAGCAGAAACTGTTAGCCTTTTATTTCATAATTTTATGCATTTGTCCTCCATATTCTCATTATTTAGACGAAGCTTTATTGGCTTGGTCTAAGGAAGATCCAGTAATGAAAGCAATAAATTTTCCTATTGATTCTAATAAAAGATCCATTTTGTTATTGAAGTTGTACTGAACTGTGATAATGTTTTCGCATTTATTACGAAGGGAATTTTTAGCAGAATGGAGTAAAATAAGTTATAGATTACACTTTTACTTGATTAGTAAATTTAAAAGGTTATAAATTAGAAATATATTCAATTTTAATAAACTTTTTTTTATTTTATACTTTTTATTAAGTTTTACAATTTTTAAAAAAGTTTACATATGGGCTGATTTGTCTACCTTTAATTAAAATATTGATTTTGTTACATTTTTATTATACAAAATACTATATAATATACAGTAAATTAAAGGTGAGTATCAGGATCAAACATGTCTAAAAAAAAGCAGATTTATTGATTCCTAAACACATGTACGTGCAATTAAGAAGACTACGGTTAATGTATTCAACTTGTAATAGACAGATTGGACAACCCATACCTAACAACATAAAGAAGAGATTTATCACATATATTAATTATATCAATCAGCATTGTAATAAGATTAAACTTCACGCTCCTGACAACATCTGGAACCTCGATTGGGCGAAACATATCAAAGATGCTTGGGTTACTACGATGAACATCATCAAAAAACACCGAACATCTGCACAGAATAAAATGATTGAAGATTACATTAATAATAGGGCGTCTCTGATTCGGACGAATCAAACTAAGATGCTTAATAGCTTGCTGAATAGATATAAAGATAAAATTGTCATAGACAGATTAATTCAGGAAAATACTGCTAACAACTCGATTGAACTAATTACAGATCCTGAAGAAATACTAGAAAAATGCATTGAACACTATCCAGACCTGCAGAAAAAGAGAGCTCATAAATTCAGCACCACAGACGAATGGAATGACATATATAAACCGATTAGTTCAATTAAAGACTGCATTTACAAGAATATTATGGATCAACCGACTGTTGAAGAATGGTCGGCTGCTTTACAAGAATGTAACGATTCATTAGCCCCAGGATTGTCGAACATCGGTTACAAGCTTATTAAAAAAGCTGGAGAGAAGGCGCAAGAATGTTTTAGAAGATTAGCTGAGATCACTTATAGATCAGCTATTTTCCCAGAAGAATGGACTACATCACAGATTTTTCTGATTCCGAAACTAAAGGAATGGGAATACCGTTTCAACAATACTCGTCCTATTTTATTGATAGAATGTTTAAAAAAGTTAACAGTGAAAATTATAACGAAACGCCTAAGTACCTGTCTGTTACAACACGATGTGCTCAAGGGACCAAATTTCGCTAGATTACCAGGTGGATCCACAGATATTCCGATCCACGTAATTAACAACATTATTGACGATGCATACGTTTCGAAAAAAGAACTATGGATTTGCTTACAGGATATGGCAAAAGCTTTCGATTCAGTTGGCATGGTCCCTTTAGAAATAGCGCTGAAAAGGATTAAATGTCCACCTCCTCTAATATCATTTATTATCAACCTATTTAAAAACAGGAAACTTCGCATTATCACAGCATACGGATTATCAAAGAGTTTTCAAGCAGGCGATGGCATAGACCAGGGCGAAACAATTTCACCCCTCATTTGGCGCATTTTTTATGATTCCCTTCTTACAAGAATACACCAAGACAGTAACCTTGGTTACAGACTCAATTCGAACTGGCCTACTGGTGATAGTACTGAGTATGATGCGTCAGAAAACACGCTCAAGGTTTCCTGCATAGCGTATGCTGATGACACTGCATGGATTGCATCCAACAAAGATGAAATGATTAAAATTATTGGTATCTCAAATTCCTTTTTTGAACTTAACGACATCAAAATTAACGGAAATAAGTCCGAACTCCTGGTTTGGCACACGCCTAAGGATATTACAAAAGAGATTTGCATGGGGTCCAATAATTCCACAGTAAAAGCCAATCCCCCTTTCAAAGAAGCACGTTATCTGAAAGTATACATCAAAAGCCGAGCCGGCCAAAGCCATATAGTAAAAAACGCACAACGAGCAATCATACTAATAACCAACGCACTTAGGCATAAGAAAATAACTGCTAGTCAAGTTGCCTATGTCAATAATGTAGTCTTAATGGCACGACTCGAATACAGACTTAAAACCACTCTGCTTAGCGATAACTAATGCCAAATTTTACACAACTGCATGATTGCACTACTCAAAGAAAAAATGGGAATCTCAAAATCTGCGCATAATAATATTTTTACACATCAAAATATTATTGGTCTCGTGCTATTAGCCCAACATTTACGCACAGCACAATATTCAGAATTTATTACTAGAGTTAATTCAAATGACTGGGATGGAAGAAGCACAAGAATCATGCTTAAAAATGCTCAGCTTCGTATTAGTTTGCAAGGATGCATTTTAACTACAGACCCAGCATTGATTCTTAAAATTAATTTACATAACAACTTCAATTTCAACTTACTTAAATCATTCATTGACCAGATGTTTAGCTTCAGGACGATTAAACAAAATTTTTGGAACCTAAGAACACAACACGGACACACTATAATGTCAATCCTACAAACCCAACAGACAATGATTATACGGATTAAAGCTCCAAATGGGTCAGTTCGGTTCGGTTTTTTTGCAGTTCGGGTAGAACCGAAAACTGAAATGGAACCGAACCGGAACCGTCTGGTTCAGTTCGGTTCTATCCGAAATTAAGAAAAATGCGAAAAAACGAATACACGACCATCCAGTGATTNAAATAGGGAGTTCGTTTATAGTGTAAAAGGTTATACTTTATTATAGAACTTTATAATTACAAGAATAAGAACTAATAGGAACTAAGGTTAACTAATTCGAACTGAAGGAACTTAACTTATAACGAAGGAAAATACCAACGTTATTTATATAAAAGTTACTACATATAAAGATATAATAAATATAATAAATATAATAAATATAAGAAATATAACTAATATAATAAATATAACTAATAAATTAAATATAATAAATAAAATAATTATATCGATTATATTAAATATAATTAATATAATAAATATAATAGAAATAATAGGCTAAGTAGGCTGCGGCTAGGTCGGCTTGGCACAGTTGGGCACAGTAGATCCTAATTTTCCACATGATCTTCTGGCGCAGTAAGTTGTAACTCTACACGTGACTAGGGGTAACACCGCGTATAAGTTGTGTCAGTTGTCCTCGTGACAACACGCTTTTTTTTGAAATTTCAATTTGGTATTACAATAAATTATCCAAATAAAATAATTGATCAAAAAATTATACACGTTAATTAATAAATTTTACGAATTTATCTCGTGTCGCTTATCTGTCAAAAAAAAAATGTCTTTGCCAAGTTTGTCATATTTACCATAATTTGCCATAATTCAAAATCACAGCTTCATCATCAGCTTGACATTCTTTATATTATACATACGATAATAAAAATGCTGATCATTTTATCACGTGATACCTGAGAATTTCTGTTATACACTTATAAATAAAGCGTTTAAATTTAGACTAATAAATATAAGTTGCCTAATAATGTAATGTTAATAATATTATACTAGTATATATACACTATTAATTAACTATTAAAGTATAATTACGTATAATAAATTATAATTATTATTTTGAAATAAGTTCGTTGCAGAGAATTTTAACCCGTAAATCTGTGTAATCCAAAACCAAAAACAGATCGTGTGAATTGTCACAAATCTACACCAAAAAAAAATTTTATTGTTATACGAATTTTTGATTTTTTTTAGGTAACGAATCGAATTAGATTTTTAATTACACAAAACATAAAAAAACAAAAAACCAGATCTTCCTTTTTAAAAAAAAAAAAAAACTTGCTTTAGGCCACGCAAATTAATATTTTCAGTTCACGTAACATTAAAATTTAAAATTGACCCGGGGACCCGAGTTTTATTTTTTATTAATAAAAAATCTTTAATATAAGTCACGTGATTGGCTAGTTATTATTAGATAATCTGTATTTAGGGGTTTTGAAGATAAACAAATTTTTTCGCTCCAGTTTGTTACTAAAAATGCCTATTATACATGTGCGAATAAGTTACAACTCTGTAACTTTAAAAGATTGGGAAGGTTTACCAGTTGAAAAAGAGAAAAAGTTAAAAGATTTTTTTAATGATATATCAATTTCATATTTATCATCTAATTTCTGGGGAGCAGATTTTGAAGTAAAATTTAGCTCATTGATAACATTAGCTAGGGAAAAAGTTTCGCCAAACTGTATTGCTTGGGGAGCTGTGTCAATATGGAATTTTATGCAAATTTTTATCTGGTATTGCAAGAAAGAGTGATACATACTAGTAGGAACTACTATACTTTTCGTCAAAATGACAAAATACTAATTAAATTTATTTTGACAGACGTAATGTATTTTGACAGATGTAATTAATTCATAGTAATTTTATAATAAATAGTGAATTGGTCCGTTCGCCAAAATACGACATAATTAATTAGCGGAGAAGTATAGGAACTACTATTATTAATGCTTTTGATATTTTAAATGCCAATTCAAATAATCTATTTGTTCCAGAATTTAGTAATTCTCCAAGAAATGCATTAGAAAAGTTGCCTAACATGTGATAGTCCTATTGAAATTCCATATTATTCAAGTGGATTATTTAAAGAAGCACGTTGTTTTAACCGTGAGGTAGAATGTGAAGAAGAAAATAATTATGGAGAGTATTTTCCATATTGTGAAGATTGTAGTGCGTCAGTTGAAAATAAAAAAAGAAGGAGTAAAGAAAATAAATTTGTACAAGTCAAGTAGACGTAAAAATATGTAAATTACTATTCATAATAATTAATATTTAACCAATAAAATTACTTAAAATCACGTGATAAAATTTTTTACATATAAAATTTTTTGGTCAAATTTTGAAAAAGTGACCCAGATTATAAGAATATTACTGCGTACGCAGCCACCAACTGCGTTGAAGATCCCATACCCATAAGGGGGGCTGAAAAGATGCCTACCAAATGTGAGGTGGTAGAAGAAATTCATTGGTAAACTGATATGGCAGGTCATAGATGGTCTGAAATCCTTCAGAGGTGATATGTTTAGAGTTTTTCTTGGTACCTGATCGGCCCAGTTAGGGATAAAATAGGTGTCGGCAGGGCACCAACCACAAAAGTTGTATGGCAGGTGGTCAACCAATTTAAATCATACACTGGATGGGGTGGGTATATTGCTGATGAGTTGCTAAGGTGGTCAATGGGGAGTGTGTTCTGACACCCCCCTGATATGCTGCGGTTGGCCCCAAATACCAAAAAATACCTACTGAAGTAGGTGGTCCGGGGTGGGTTTAGGTGGCCCTAGTTAGGTCATCCTAAATCTCTATTAGAAGTAAGGATCTGGTCTAGTAGCTTCAGCCTTGGCTGAGGCTTTAGCAGATGACAAGCTCTATGTTAAGTTGTGTTGTTTCTTTGATCAACCATGCTTTTTTGATGGTTTTGCCAACTTCACATAAAATAAATAAATAAATGAAAATGTGACCCGGCCAGGTGAAGTGAACTGAAAATATTAGTTTGTGTGGCCTTAAAAGCATAAAAAACACAACACAAGAAATTGGAAAATTTAGAGAATAATTTTTTTTTTAGGAGTTGGCCTAATTTTTTTTTTCGGGAAGTATCAAAAAAATTCATACAGTACAGTTTAAGTACAGTTTATAAGTATACCCAAAAAAATCTTTTTAAAAAAAAAGAAAATAAAGGGAAGGGAAATTATTCAAATTTTAATCGAAAAAAGAAGGAAGTAAGAATTCGTGGTGTTTTAACTGAACTAGGGATTGGAATCGATTCTGTGATAGTCAAATTAATCAAAAATTGATTCTGAATCGATTAATCGAAAATCACATGAAAAAATCGAATTTGACGCCTAAACAATTTTTTCATTCTAGTCAATCGTTTCCATTGATATTTGGCCTAAATAAAATTTTAATTCTGGCCAGCATTAAAGCTCGGCCGGAATTAACTTTGTGTAATCTAGAAAAAAAGTTTTTGACTTTATTTTGAGTACAAGGTGGTACGTTTATTATAAATAAATACTATTAGCTATGTAGTCAAAATTTGTGTAATATTACTGCATAAAGGGCTTTGCCTAAGCGAAACTATTTCTAATGATTAAAAGTGGTCAATTTGACTTAGAAAGTGGTTGATTTGGCCCATTAAATGAAAATTCATGATTATTAGCTACTTTAAGGCCAAATTGGCCATTTTCAAGGTTAAATTTACTAGCCAGTGACAATGATGTAAATATTAAAAGAATAAAAAAAGTTTGATTCTCCGTAAAAACTATGATCATCCAAATTGTGACATGAAACTGAAAATCAAATTTTAAATCAATCTTGAGATTCGATTAATCGTGATTAGTCGATTCTATAATCGATTCTCAAAATTAGAATTGATTCCTATCCCTAAACTGAACTATAACATCAAATTGAATGGTAGTAGTAAAGTTCAGTTAGAAACACCTTTTTTAGAACAAGCCACAAGGTCATCGGGCTGGATGTGGGTCTCGCTACCGCTCCACCCACCTCGGCCTCACGGCCTCGCAGTACCTCCTTCCCCCCTACGGGGGATCAGGAATCCCCTATATCTGTCACCATCTGTCAATAACATCTGTCATATAACAATATACTAAAAAAGGATAAAATAAGGAAAAAGAGAGGAAAATACGATAGAATCAGAGGGGTATGACAGATATGACGGATATGACAGATGTTTCAGAAAAAATCGGGAGAGGGTATCCCCAGAAAAAAGTTTTGATTTTACCCCCCAGATCTGTCATTCTATCATAGTTCTGTCATATGATCAGGATTCCGTCTAATAATCTGTTGGAAGCAGTGAGATAGCAAACCAGATAAGTTAGCAGGTAAGCCCCTAGAAGGTCTATAAAGCCAGTAAGACCAACCCCGTCCCGTCCCCGTCAGAAAAAATAAGTAATTGAACAATGGGTATTGAGAATAGAGCATATCCAGATAAGTTTAGAAGACAGTACTAATCCGTCTTCCTCTTTTTTGCCTCCTTAAGGCATTTATCAATACACTGTTTACACGCGTCATCAGAATCTAAGATTTTCTGTCCAAGTTTTTTGCATTGCCGATTGTAAGCCATCTGCTGTCTCTTAGCAGCGGTTTCTTTCTTTTTCTCCTTAGTCTTCTTCTTGATCACCCAGTCTATTCCAGTAAAAGTATTATTATGCATACCACAAATTGTGCAGTCACCATGCAGCCGGTAACGCCCATTTGTAGTCATATCTTGTATTTCACTAGCCGTCTCAGTTTCCTTCTTGCACTTTAGGCAGTAAAAACGTGTCATTTTAAGATTTGAAGTCTAAAACCATTCCTTTAATTTGTCGTAATATGTCGCATTTAGAGAATTATTACAAATACTACAATCTCTCCGGAGTACCAGCACGAATTCTAAAAGGTGAGGAGCACTACAACCTATACAAAAAGCCCCTAAAGGAGAAGTCAACAGAACGACCAAAGGTAATTGTATGGAAACCAAATGCAACACATCAGGCAGATCTTGCAGAGATGCCAGTTGACCCCAAAGGATTCCACTATTTTCTCGTAGTGGTGGAAGTTGCAGGAAAGAGAGTTGATGCAGAACCCCTAAAGGATAAGACTGCAAATAGAGTTCTAAACGGGTTTGTCAAAATCTACAGAAGAAATCGTATTAAGCCACCAACACACAGACTGGAGACAGACTCCGGATCAGAATTCACTAACGACCAGGTACGTGATTTTTTCCTGAACAGCCTAGGGGTAATGATGAGGTTCGGAGAGCCAGGAAGGCATAAACAGCAATCTTATGCTGAAAGAGCTATCCAAGCCATCCAAGAACCCCTTCTTAAACGAATGGTAGCACAGGAGTTGAAAACCGGGGTGACATCCGTGGAATGGTCAGAAGATTTCCATAATATAGTGAGTAAAGTAAATGAACTCTGGCAGAGAAATCCCCCAGACATTCCGACAGGATCACCCAAAGTGTCAAAAAAGACGGATCTCCTCTCTGAAGGAGCACGTGTCAGAGTCAAGTTAGATGAACCTATCTCAGTACTCGGTAATAAACTTCACGGAAAATTCCGTACAGGAGACATAAGATGGAACCCAAACATTCGTGTAATCAAAAAAATGATACTCTCACCCGAACAGCCTCCTACATATCTCCTTAATGGACCACATGGTCGATTAGGTGTATCCAGATGTGCATATACCCGAAAGGAATTGCAAGTAGTTCCTATTAATGAAAAGCCTCCACCTGACTCTGTGATAAGAGGACAACCTGAAAGATTTGTTCCTGAGCAGATACTTCGGCATCGCATTAGAAAAGGTCAAGACCAGTATTTGGTTAAGTGGGAGCGCTATCCAGACACTGAGGCTACTTGGGAACCTGCTGACCGGTTGAAGGAGGATGTCCCTGACTTAATTCGCAAATTTTGGGAAAAAAAAAAAATAGAAGAATTAAAGGGTCTTATTTTTTATCCCCTCGATTAGCATCAGGAACTATCGGGATAAAAACATTCTTCCCATCACAGGTAAAGGCTATATGTTCACGTGATTCATGGACATCATAATTGTAACGTTTCAGACACGTTCGGCTTAACCCAATTTCCCTATGCTTGTAACCACTTAAGACTGCAAGGTCCTCAGTGATAGCATAATCAGGGGTAAGTTTGATTGTCACTCCCTTTACCATGCCGAATGTCCTACCTGTTCCTGAAGCACCAGATATGTTATATGTAATACTCTTGTCAATATCCAACCCTAATTCCTCAGCAGCTTCTCTCTGAATAAAAGACGCATTAGCACAAGTGTCTGCTAAACACTGAATTGCTATTCCATTAACCTCCCCATCCAGTGCTAAAAGATCTTTAGTATTCTCTAAACGAGCTATGTCAATATCCATAGGATCATCTACCCTGATATCCTCTTCTTGTTCCTCCTCAACTAGGTCCTCCGGAATCTCTGTGACTTTTCTAGCAGACAATAACTCCTCCTGAAGAATCTCACGGAGTAATTTCCTAAAGTCTGCAGACCTTAACAGGCTTAATAAGTCATTCTTAGTAACAGCTTTTGCAGGTGTAGACTTACTACCAGTAACTTTCACAGGAATCTTAACAGGGGTTGCTTTGCCTTTCAATGGCACACTAGAAGAGCTAACTGCTGTCTTATTTGGGGACGACTTAAGAAGTTTTGAGATACTCGAACCTACTTTTTTTTTGACCCAACACGAACCATATAGACATCACCATCTTTTTCTCTCAATTCTACCTTTTCACCAAAACTCGCAGTATCAATGTCCATAGCATCATCATTAAGATCGAGGTTTCTCATTGCTCGGGCCAAATCCAGATCATCACGTCTATCTTTAGCCTTCTGAAGTTGTTTTGTAAGTATTTTAGACGTCCCACGTTTATATCCCATAATAAGATCAATAGCATTTTGATGATCATCCAAAGTCCACTCAGGAGCATCAGGGTCATCACCAACATCATGATCTACATAACCATCATCCCAATCAGGATCCTGAGGATCCTGAACAACACGTCTCTGTGGTTTTGGTCGAACAGGTTTAATCTGCTGTCTATAGACTGGTGGATTACGAACTGGCCGAGCCTGTAATTGTTTAAATTGCACCTGAAAATTCTTGGTAAGTTCCTCAGCTTGAGCCTTAAGTAACTCTTGTAATTGTTCTTGAGTAACCCCAGATGACTTTGATGTCAGTACGACAGGTTCCTGTTTTCCTAACGGAGGTTGAGTT